TTATCAAGTTGCGTAGACATCTTCTCTGAAAGGTTCTGAAACAGAAACCCTCCGTACTCCAGTCTAGATCTGACCAGGGCTCGATACACCATCATGAGGATCCGAGGGTCGGCTCCCCACCATGTGTGGCCCACGCATTTGATTATTCGGAGCGGACATATACAACGAAGCCTCGTGTAGTCCATATGCGCCGTCCATCCCAAATTAGACTGGAAGTTAATGCCCAGAAACTTAACTTGAGACGAATTAAATATCTCAGTGCCTTGAATTCTAATGAAACATGCTCGTCTCCGATAAATAATACTGTTTCCCTGTCTAACGGGAATTTTTAAACTGTTGTCATTGCGGCTAAAGACACATAGCTTAGTTTTCTCAACCGATAGATCCAGACCGAGGCCGTCGAGTATTGTTATTGATTTCGCTGTAGCTCTTTCAATCGCGCTCAGTCCTTTCTCGAGGGGAGTAATCGACGAGAAGATACAGACGTCATCCGCATATTGGACTAACTTGCATTCCCTTGAGTTGACAGAGTCCAGCTCCGCAACGTAAACAGAGTAGAGTAGAGAGCTCAGGACACTGCCCTGAGGAAGGCCCTTGTAAAGCCAGAAGACCTCCTCCATCTCACCATATCGGCAGAACACCTGACGAGCGGAAACCAGATTAAATACAAAACTGCACGTTTTGGGTGGAACACCCAACTTTTTACTAGCTTCTGTATCAAAACGTCGGCTAAAACATTATCGTATGCCGCATGGATGTCGAGAAACACAGCCGATACTGCTGAGTCATTCTGGAAGCCACCCAAAATATCCGTATAAAGGATAGACAGGTTGTCCATACATAACCTATTCCTCCGGAAGCCGAACTGCGAGTTCGGGAGTTTATCCTCGGTCTCCAACCACCAGTTCAATCTATTATTAATCATACGTTCCATGACCTTGCAAAGGCAAGGAGCCAAGGAAATAGGCCGGAATTTCACGCCGTCGGATTTGGGTATAAAAGTAATCAAATATCTCCTCCACTCCGAGGGGAAGGAGCCCTTTGCCAAAAAGGAATTATATATGTGCAGAAGAACACATTTGCCCATCTCAGTTAGCTTCCTA